GCACTTAAAGCAATGAAAACAGTGTGTGCAAAATTTCATGTAATTATTGTCCCTCATCATTTCAGGGATCAGCAAAGAAGTCCACCAGAAAGTTCTGATTGCCCTCCAGTAACTTGCAGTGCATATATCCTGCCCTTAGAATATGATTTGGTGCAAGTGGAATGTGCTTGTTGTTTAAGCTGTCATTTCCTGGTAATGCAATTTTATAACATGCTGGTCATTTTTAAAAAAATAATTATGTCTTTCTGTAGATTTAAGCACTCTTTACCGCCAATGTCTTTTTTAGCTAAGTCTCTGACATACTATCTTTCCTAGATTTTAATGGAGTTCATCTATCAAAAATGGTAAACAAAATAAGAAGCAGCTTGTATGGTTATATTTTACTCTGTTGTTTTCCTATTTCTAAATAGACTTGACAATGTGTGAGTCAAAAAGCAATATAAATATAAAACACACACACACACTCATTAAATCAGAGCTATTCTTAATAAGGTATAATGAAAGGAAGGAATATATGCCTGAATATATGTTAGAAGCATTATGAAAAATTCAGTGTCACACATCATACTGACTAAAATGGGGATTTGAAAAGAAGTAAAGGTTAAGGGAATATTAACATACAAGATTATGCTCTTCCAAGGTATGTCTGATCCACAGGGGATTTTAGAAAATGCAGAAGGTCTACATAGATTACATCAAAGATGGAAAGCTTAGAATTCAATGTGTAATTTTCTCCATAGGTATGTAGGGTATTATATCCATTTTTTTCCTGCTGGATATTCAGCCATGCGATTATGTTGGTCACTGATGGAATTATCCCAAGAAAATAAGATTATGAAATCGCCACGTGAAATTCTGCAAACTATAGAAAATGCAGTTTTGGGGAATCTTGGGCAAGATGGTATTTTCTCAATCACAACTAGGATAAATTTCTGAGGGATCTGCATTAATGAGTAATTCCAGAAACAATAGTATCTAATGATATGTGTTATGTTATCTGTGGGAATAGAGGGGCATTCCTCATGTAAGCCAGCATGAACAGAAGAAGTAGGTCACTGATAAAATCTCTTGGAGACTCTTTGGATGTGTTCCTGTGATTCTCTGTGCGGACAACACTTACATTTGAATATCCTTTTTTTTTTTTTTTTTTTTTTTTTTTTTTTTTTTTTTTCTGCCAAGGAAATAGCAAGGCTAAGCTGGATCTGCTTGGGTGACAGAGGTAATTGCTGCTTTTTCTACTGTGCTGTTATTGCTACTTGTCCTTCACTGAGGCCTGTAGGGGCAGACCTCCGGGAACTAAGACTAATTACATGTAATTCTGTAATTATATCACAGAATTATGCCATGGAGAACTTCAGAGCCAGAATCAGAGTCGTAGAATGGCATCTAAAATAGGCTGTAGGTAGACTGTAGGAGTCCCAAACTGCAGTTTGACAAAAGTCCTGTAAGATGCTGTCTAACTCTGGAGGTACCTTGGAGTAACCAGGCAGGATCTTCTGTTCCTGCCTGAGAAATCTGTGCACGTCCAGACCTTTCTTCCTGCTCATGTTCCACCAGTGATTCTGTTGCCCACACCAGACAAATCTGTTGCAGGGTATCCTCTGAGAAAGCTTCATACACTGACAAATCAGTTGTCACAAAAAACACAGACCAGGAAAAGACAGCACTAGTTACCATACTCAGTCCTCTGCCACCAGGGATGACCAGAACATGAGCAGCAGTTGAGGGTATGAATGACACAAACAGTAAGGTTTCCCATAGCTGATAAGCTTTGTATCTGCAGTAAAAGAAAACGAGTTGTTCCTTCTAGATCTACCTTTTCCACTGAACATTGTTCCAGTGGTTGCTATTGTCTCAGGTAGTCTAACTCCCAGCTAACTATTCAGTGTGTAGCTCATCATTCAGAGTAGTAACAATAGGCAGCAAACATAAAGCTATATACCAGCAACTGAGCAGCACAAAATAGTGTCTAAATGATCATCAGCTTGAGTCCAAAGAACCCAAGGAACAGCTCTTTATTATGTGCATTTATTTAGGTCATTATACATTTTATCACACTGTTTATCCTCATACTGTCTTCTCTCATGCACTTTCAGTGCTTTGTTCATATGCCAAGCATGCACTAGTAGCCCTGGATGTTCAGTTCATGCTACACATTGCTACACATCAACACCTTCTTCTAGTCAATGTCACAGTTGTCTTGTGTAGACGCTAGCTAGTCCTTCAACGGTTTTTAGTCCACTATCTAACTGCTTCTCTGTACACACACTATTGAACTTCTCACTACTTCTGTAGGACAGCTACACTAACTACAATAATTCTTTTATAAGCTTTCAGAGCACTGTCTTAATCTTCATTCTATGAAATAAGGCAGAACAAAAAAAAAAAAGGAATATCTTACTACTCAAGGAAAACTTCTTTTATGATCACAGATTCACTGATTAGTGTAACCTTCAGCATATGAGTAAAATATACCGACTTGCTACTAAAAGGACTTAAGAGCTTAAATCCATCAGCACATTCTAACTCGTGCCTATTATTGTTGGCTCCCCAGTGATGCAGGAGCTGGATATAAAGAACCAGACATTTGTGGGTGGAGGAGAAAGAAGCAAAGACTAGTCCTTTCCTGTATGATCTTTGTAAATAACTAGCAGAAAAAAAATATAGAATTAATACAACAGAAATAAAATGCAAATTAATATGAATACACAATAATCTATTTTCACATTATTTGAATACTGCACAGCTTAACTTTTCTAATTTCAAGATCAGGCCATTCCATAAACTTTTCATTCCCTGTGTAAATAATACATGTTCCTGCCCACTATCAAAATAGAAATGCCTTTACTCTTCAGATGTCATTTTTTAAATTCCTATTTGAATTAATGACTGATTTATGACAGTTTGATCTTGTATCATTACTTAAATAATTCCCTCTCCCAACATATTTATAGGGTAATCATATCTACTATCATTCAGTTTTTCGTGCTTTCCAAACCTTGCTGGGAGAAAGAAACCAAGAAAGCAGCATCCAGGTGGTCAGTGAAAGCAAGAAGAGGAACATCAGATTTTAACTTTGTGACAGGGACATTGCCTTAGGAGTGGACTAATTAGGAAGCTGGGCTAGCAGATCTGGGACTTCAGGACTACTTATGCATTTTACTTTAAATGGGCAGCAAATAAAATGCATGTATTGAGGCAGTTATTATTCCAAAAGACTGAGTCCAAGCTCTGGTTCACACTACAAAATTGTACAGTGACCTTACCTGTCACCTAAGCTTGTCCAGGCAGCAGGTGGCATTTTACTATTTCCAAGCATTTGAACAAGTGACAGAGCAGAGGGTTTTATTTTGCTTGAGTGAAATTGTTGTGAACAAAACACAAGGGGTAGATTCTTATGCTTAAGATTGAGGCTTTAGATTCTGTTTAACTAACTACATCTTTGGTGACTGTGTTGGTTATCTGACACTGATGGTGAGCAAACAAAAGAACTTCCATCCGTATTTTCTAAATTTTCAAATCGCCAGAGGACTCAAATAAACTGCTTAACAGAAATGTTCCCAAGTTCATGTGGACTCTAAGTGTATGTGGGACATCCGTGTCAAAGCAACTGTATTACTTGTCATGAAAAGAATGCCTTAGTGTCTTAAGCGCATGCAGTAATTTCACACTGGGAGTGCCAGTTTCACCTAGCCATCCACACCTACAACACAGTCACATTTCAGATTCATCTCTTTCAGTCACTTCTTGCAGGCTGTCCTATGTACAGTTCAAGGTACCAAATTTTACTACAGCATTGTCCTTTCTATGCTAGGACCTGAATATTTGAAAGACAGGTGAAAACACTTCAAACTTTAGCTTACAGTTTATCCTCTTGACCCATCTCTAACTGCTGCCCAGAACTAGGTAAAAAACTGAACCAGGGACTGTATCAGTTTCTTATCAGGTGTTCAACTGAAAAAGGGATGATCTAGAAGATATCTTAGAAAACTGTACTATTCAATCATTTTTTAAGATGCTGCTTTTTTTTTTTTTTTTTTTTTTTTTTTTTTTTTTTTTTTTTTTTTTTTTTTTTTTTTTTTTTTTTTTTTTTTTTTTTTTTTTTTGTGTTTTGCTTGTTTTAGGAACATCCCGTCCTTCAAATACGGGATGTTTCTTCTTATGAAGAAATAAGCCAAAAGAGGAGAATCAGATGCTTGCATACAACTACATGGCTATGAGCTCATCAGGACAAGCGACACTGGATACAGCTCACACAACCTGAGCACTGCAAGAGGCTCTTTAGGAGGGACAGTCTGAGGAGGGCTTGTCCCTTATGTGAGCAAGCAGTAGGAATTCATGGTGTTCCACCTGGGCTCAAGAGATGGATCCAGTGAGAGCTGATGGAATTAGAGGGCATACCCACATAATGTGGTGGACAGACCACCTGAGGTAAAAGAGGCTTCCTTCAGAAAACCAGAAGCTGGTTCACATTCACAGACCCTCATCCTCATGGGGAACTCGATATCCACTGGAGAGACAAGACAGCAGGGCACAAGCAGTCGAGTTTTCTGGAGTGCGATGAGGAAAATTTGCGGATACAGATGATCAAAGAGCCAACAAGGGGAAATACTCCACTGTATCTGATCTTACAAACAAGGAAGAATACCATATCACAATGCTTATTTAGCATAAGCTGGAGAACTGTCAGTTAAATCCCAATAAATCAAAGAGTTTGATGTACCTGTGCAGTTGACTGGGTCTTCAAGAGTCTCAGAGGTACTGAAAGACTGACCTCAAAAAACAAACACAGCTATTTAGGCAATCAGGTATACATGCAAAATCGAATGGGGACCAAAACCAATAGATCAGTTGCTCACCTTTAAAAAGGAATGATCAAGACCATCACCAGGTTTATGATTATGTATTGGACATGATGGAAAAGTAAAGATTTTATGAAAAGATTTATTCAGTAAAGACAGAACTTAAAGAAACAAATTCCTAGGCATACTGAGTAGAATTAATTTGCATTGAATTGTGCAAAATAAGTCTTATTTGCCAAGTCATTTGATACACTGAATGATCCTGCTGAAACAACAGGTGAGGAAACACACTGTTCAAAGTCCTACTTATTTTGTTTACCTCAGTGGAACTTGGCTCATGGATAATGTCTACAAAATGAATTGATTCACTTGGTAGAACTGCCCATTCCATCAGAGTTGTGTGCGTAGGCTTAACCTAGGTGTAAACAAATATTAAAATTATTTTTCAAGCTTTTTCCTCTACAAATTTGCATTATAGCGATCTCGGTTCTGAAAGTCCTTAAAAGCACGTTTTGCATCTGATTTGCTGTGTGGGATTCTTCCAAATGGTTCCAGATCATTGAAGCAGGCATCAAAAACTTCATTCACAGCTTTTTCTGCCGTTTCTTTGCTAACTTTTCTAACAGCCAGAATGGAACGAATTGCTCTGTCTCGAACACAAGTCTGAAAGTGGGAAACAGATAAAAGAAAATTTGTCATTACCTGAGAAGTTAAAAAAGATTTACCCACTAATAGAAAATAAAAGTGCAATTTGACTTTTGTTGTAGTATTACATATTTGTACACCTTACAATTGTAGTAAGTTACTTACTTACAACAGTAAGACATTTGCTGACAAAGCTGGTTTTGTTTGGTGTTTAACCATGTACTAACACGAATTTTAAGTAGTAATTTGGATGAGAGAATAACTTCCTCATTTTAAAATCTAATCACATTTGAGTCAAAAAAGCATGTAAAATCATTCCAAAGATGATTTAGAAAATGAACAAGAAAAAAAATCTTAAAAATCAGCTTTGAATTCATTTTGTGCTCTTCCATTGTCAGTGGTATCACACTAATCATTCACTCAGTTGCTGGCAATACTGCTCTAGAATATGCTTGAGTATTCAACTATTTCATTCCAACAAACTGACAGAAAAGGCAAACAAAAATGATCATGAAACACTGAAGTTATATTAAGAGAAAGCAGCAAATCCAGAGCATGTTCTGAATTGCTGCATCCTACTCCTCTTCAAATAAACTGTGATGGAATATGTCAGACGCCCTCTAGCAGTGTAAGGTGGAGACAAAAAATACAAAAGTTAGAAGAGGGGATGGTGTCAGTATGTATTCAGTTTGTAGGTGCAAGTGATGATGAAAATAATGAAACACAGAATTATAGCTCAAATTATAGAGTGGCCTAAACACTCTGTCTTTATAAAGGTAGAGGTAAGTAACAGAAAACTTAAGTATTAAGTAGACTGCTAAGTACTAAATAGCAAAGTACTCAGTCAGCTGACATACAACTACAGGACACTATAAGAAATTCATTGCAGCTTTCTGACAAAACCAAGCAGAACCGTTTTTTTTTTTCTCCTGCCAGTCAAGATCTTTCCCCTTTGAGAGCAGTAAGAGGAGGATGTAGGTTAGTCAACAGTTACCAGTGTTCCATTCACCTACAGTTCTTCTCCTACTTAATAAAGGGGTTTAAGAAAGAATCCAAGAATGCAGAATGAGTATGGAAAAACACTGTAAAGAGCCTAGAAAGAGACAGGCACCGAGGAAAATGAAAAACAAACAACAGCAAAAAGCTACAACTTGTGCAAGCCAGATATAAATGCTAGACAGAACTAGGGGAAAAGGAATACATTATCAAAGGAAAATTTAGGAACAGAAAGACAAGACAGGCCTTGAGCAAGAAGAGACACAGAAGATAGAGTGAACTAGGGCTCAAAAATGGAGAATAAAGTTAACAGTGAGAAATAGAGGGCAGATTAAGTTTATAAGAATATCAATTACGCCAAGATCTACTCTTTTTTTTTTTTTTTTTTGGGTGGTTTTTTTTTTTTTTTTTKTGGGGGGGGGGGGGGGGGGGGGGAGGAGTTTTCAGCTACTGAAGTATGGAAGGCAGAGGTAAAAATAGAAAGGAGAGTCATAGCAAATCAAGAGGCGAGAACATCTATGGGCTTTACCTGCTGGTGTTGCTTTAATCCGAATTTAAACCTGGCTATTTCATTCATCAGTGTACAGTCTCCACTGAGATTAGCAGCTCGAATCTATTATGGGGAGAAAAAGAAAAAAAGAATACAAGAGTCAAAAGTCAAACAAAGTATAAAATCTTTTTTCTTTTTCTGGTGACTGCTAGTAAGGAATGGTCCCAGGATCTCTTTAATTCATTAAGTTCATAATATCTTTATAATCTCTCAATTCCAATGAATGGCAATATATAAACCAGCAGACGGCTCCAGAGATCAATTTTTGCATACTCCTGAAGTCTAGAAAAGCTCATAAATACATGATCTGCTAAAGAAACATGGAAACAAGTTCTTCCCAAGCCATCTCTATTAGAAACTTATATAGCAGTCAAGAAGGATGACAAGACCCAGACAAGTCCAAAGGCCCAGAACAGCAGTAACCTGAATAATCACCTGATTCAGAAAATGATGCATTTAAAGAATACATTTTTTCCCTTATAAACTGGCTTCTTGTGTCTTGAAATTTCCTTTGTCAACCAACTGTTCCACATCACACCTCCTCAATTGGGAAACGTAACTAAAATTATATTGCCTATAATTAAGTACCAGACTGAAGGCTGATATATATATATATATATATATTTAAAAAAAAAAATTAAAAACTGAGTGAGCAAAAGTTATAAATTATAGAAAATATCTTTGAAAGAGCTGAAGCACTCAAAGATTTCCAACAAAAGCAAGCGCAAGCCAAACTTCCAAGCGCAAGTATTTCCAAAGCAAATATGATTAAAATTTTATTTTGCAAAGCCTGATCTGTTCTGGAGTTGATCTGTCATGTCAGTTCTCTCATCTATTCTTTATCGTTTATGGATAAAACTTGTGAATTTCTTAAGTCTCAATTTGATTATGTTCCTTAAAGAATGATTGTATTTTTATACCATTTTAAAAAGCACAGTTAAAGAGTCACCTAATCCTATTCATCTGCAAAGACATAATTTTGTAACACCAGTTATAAGGATAAGATTATATGTAGTCAAATAATAAAGATTATATTGGAAGACAATTTAAAAGTATGCAAATATAGACAAGAGGTATTCTTAATGGCCTATGCTGTGGTCTGCCTTAATCTCATAATGTATCCCATTTCCAAAGCCTTTCAAATAGCTTATTCCTGTCTCCTCTGAAACGGATATGAGGTCATGAGCAAAATGTACTAATAGTAATGTTACATTCAATTTTTTAAAAAAAGCATGTTATGAGGAAAGACTGCTAACAAAAACTTGCAAAACAAAATACATGATTCAGCTGAACACATATCACAGAGAATCACAGAATGGTTGAGGCTTTTTGAGTTAGGGCCTTTGCAGATCCTAACTCAATCCCCTTGCTCAAACAGGGGCATCTACAGTATGTTGTCAGGTTTTGAATATCTTCAAGGTAGGAAACTCCACAATGTCTCTGTGCTCAGTCACCCTCACAGTAGAGGGTTTTTTTCCCCTTGTGTTCAAACAGAACTTCCTGGTTTGAGTTTGAGCCTGATATCTCTTGTTGTATCAGTGGGCACCACTTCCTAACACCTCCCTTTAGACACATACACACACTGACAAGATCTCCCCTTCTCAGTCTTCTCATGTCCAGCCTGAATAGTCACAGGTCTCTCAGTCTCTCCTCATAGCAGAGATGCTCCAGTCCATCGTCTTTGTAGCTCTGTGATGGACCCACTCCAGTAGCTCAGGTTCTCTTTTAGTGAGGAGCCCAGAACTGGACATAGTACCCAAGACACAGTCTTATCTGGGCTGAGTAGAGTTTGGGGGAGGAAGGGATCACTTCCTTCAACCTGCAAGCAATGCTCTTCCTAAGGCACCCCTGGGTACCACTGGCCTTCCTGACCAGAAGGACATATTGCTGGTTCATGGTCCTGCCCGCTAGGTCTTTTGCAGACCTGCTCTCCAGCAGGTCACCCCCAGCCTGCACTGGTACCTGGGGTTACTGTTCCCTAGGTGCAGGTCTCTGCACTTGCTTTTGTTGAACTTCACAAGGTTGTTCTCCGCCCAACTCTCCAGCTGGTCCAAATCCCTCTGAGCTGGATGGCAGCGTAGCCCTTGGGTGTATCAACTTCTCCTCTCAGTTTTGCACCATCAACAAACTTGCTGAGGGTGCTCTCTGCCCCTCCAACCAGATCATTGACCCTAGGGAAGACAGCAAGCTGGTAGATCTCCAACCTCCAACTCTATGCTGCTCATCACAACCCCTCTGGGCTCTGCCACTCTGCCAGTTCTCAAACCACTTCATTGTCCCCTCATCTAGTCCACATTTCCTGAGTTTGCCTATGAGGATGTTACGGGAGACAGTATCAAAAGCTTTGAAACATCAAACATTCCTAATAACCAGCAGCAATACAGGGACAACATGAGAAGCATTGTAACTTACCTCTGAACATGCTAAGTGCTTGACATTTTTGAACCAGTCAACATGTGCACGGCAGTGATCAAAAGCATGAATCAACTCATGTGTAACCACACGGTTCATCTGGGATTGGTGGCGAATATTGTTCTGACACAGAACAATCTGCAGAAGAAAAGGTACAGGTAGTCTTTTTTTCATTATTTTTTTTAAAAAAAGATCATTTCTAATGTTAAAGACTTTAGTTGTTGACACTGAGAAACTCTGACCTCCCTTATTCCACAGAGACCCTGTGAACATCACCTAAATGATTCAAATCCTTAAAAAATGACCAGTGTTTTTCAACATCTCATCACTCTGAAGTATACCAGTAATGCTAGTTCCATATTCCACTTCTTGCACACGTCTCCTCTTTATGTTTTTAAAGCTGGTATCAGCATTAGCAATTCAACTCATTTTCACTTGGTAACAAAACGCTAACACGTTTACAGCGAGTTCTTTGAAAGACAGCAACGCGTAGTTCAGTGCCTACCTGAGACGTGGCAGAATCAAAGCCTCCCCCAACACAGCTATCACAGTCCTCACAAGAAAAGTGCCGGTCATTGAAGACAGTGCTAAAAGAGCCAAATGAACAAGATTACAGGGGAGAAGTCTAATAAGGCGATTAACTTCATATAATACAGATGTTACCACACAAAGTAGTACCCGTTAGTTTACATACCAACCAGATTGCTTCATAGCCTCAAGAAGAAGTCGAGCATGTGGATCTAGAAAAACATGGCTGCAATCAATTTCTCTAAACAATTTTTTTGTATAGAAAGCCATCTATAATCAAGGATATAGAGACAGCGGTGGGGGGAAAAAAGCACTACGCTTACAAATTTATATGTTGTGGCATTTGACAACAAATGCATTGCAGCGGACATCTCATCAGCAGGGCTCGGCCTATGTAAGGTGATATATACACACAATGCTACACAGGAGGCCAGTCACATCAGAGGTTATTTCATCGACACTAAACGTCAATAGAGGGGTTAATGTCTATCTCTGCATCCTCACTGATGGTTAGAACCGTAAACAGACTGTAAAGAAAAAAAATCCACACATGAATCAAAAAGCTGTAGATCTTCTCAGAGTTTTAAGAGGTGGAAGTGGAGGGAAGGTCTTCCAGGGAGGAAAACAAAACAAAACAAAGCAAACAAATAAAATCGCAGCCACTTTTGATATGTTTTACTCGTCTTAAGCCAAACCAGGGCGCTCACTGCACAGCGGCTGCATCCCCAGCACTTCCTCGGGTCAGGAGCAGCAGAGACGGTGCCCAAGGTCACCGCTACCCCAGACACATAGACACACGCACACATACACATAATATACATTTATATATATGTCTAGACACACACACGCACGCACACGCCGCCGCGCGGGCAGCGCTTACTGGTGTCCAGGGTCATCCTCAGCATCACCTGGCACCTGTTGTGGAAGGTGAAGAGGCTGCGCGCCAGAAAGCTCTGCGGCTGCTTGCGGCGCTCGGGGAAGAGCCGGTAGCCGAGATCATCATCCTCCTCCTGCTCCTCCCCCGCCGCCCTCCGCTCGCCCGGCGCCGGCGCCGCGGCCGCCATGTCCCCCTCCCCCACGCCACCGGCCCCGGCGCAAAGGGCACGGCCCGCTCCGCCAATCGTCGCGCCGCCTGCGCGCCACGTGACGCAGGCGGAGAGGGCGTGGCCAGGCCGCACCGCCCTGCCTCGCGGGCGCATGCGCAGTCTCTCCCTCTCTCGGCGGGATCGCTGCGAGGCTGCTGGGGCGACCGTGCTGCTGGCCCGCGACGCCGCGGTGCATCCTGGGAGGCGGGAGGACTCCCCGCGCGGTGCATCCTGGGAGGCGGGAGGACTCCCCGCGCGGTGCATCCTGGGAGGCGGCCGGGCCGCGCGGCGCGGGGCGGCGGGAGGCGGCGGCGGGAGGCGGCGCAGGTGGGACCGGGAACGGGACGGGACGGGCCGGGATGGGATGGGGACCGGGACGGGCCCGGGCGGCGAAATGGAGGGGCGCGGGGATGGCCCCGGCGGCGGGGGCTGGGCCTGGGCTTGCGCGTCCCGCCGCCCCGCCCTCTGTCGGGGCCGTTGCGCAGCGCCCGGGCTGAGCCGTAACGGAGCCCGCGGGCAGCCTGGGCTCCTGGGAGGCCTCTGCAGAGTCCCGTCAACTCGCGTGTCTTCCTGGCCTCCCTCGCGGCCTTTGGGCCGCAGAGCTGCCGGGCGGCGTAGGTGAACCTCGGCGCCGAGGCTCTCGTGGAGGGAGAGGTTGCAGGGTGTGGGAGTCACGAGCTGGTTACCAGCACCCCGAAAAAAGGGCATTGAGGAGCAGAGACCCGAGCAAAACTGATATATATGTCTATGCATACTTGAGAGTATATGGTACCTGTGCAGTAACAGAATGTATGGCCAGCCTTTGGATTAGGAGCATCACCAGCCCACAGGATGGTAGGATGCAGCCGACAGTGCCCGGCGGGTGGGTGGCAGTTGCTTAAGTTAGGTATTTCTTTAGGGTGATGGAACATCCCGGAAAATGGCATGGCTTAATAGCAAACCTGCCGGCTTCAATACTAAAAATAATACAGCGGAATTCACAGGGATTTTAAAATATTAGTAGTTAGGAATATGGGGACTTGAAAGGGTGAAGATTTGTGGAGAGAGCATGTTCAAGAATATACTGGAGGTGTAATTCTCCTGACTTAATAGTAAAACTCCTTGTGCATTTACTGTCTCCTTTGCTAAAATGTAAATACCTGCATATTTGAATGCACTTTGTAGGTGCAGAAAATTGTTTGGGATGGATGACTTGTCAGATGTCTTTTTTTTTCTATCAATATACAAAGCAGCCTATATGTTTTAGTCTGTATTATACTTTCTTCTGTCATCTGGGAAACTACAGAAATTTCCTTAAGTTATGGTCACCTTGTTAACATCTTCAGGATTATTGTTGACTTTATTAGGTCCTATGACTTGCACTTAAACAGTAAAGTCATACTTTCACTTTTATTATATTTTATTTTATCTGAGTACTGTAGTTTCTTTTCTTGTTTGCAGAGACAATTTGTTTCTTTTTAGACTCTTACTGTTTAATGATTTGTACTTGTGCAGTTGGGAATCCTGACATGTGTGTAGATTGTCAGTTTTCTTCAGTTTGATGAGTAGTTTCCTTCAATTACATACTTAGAGTTCTCACTAGAGAGTTTTTTTTTTCCCCAAAATTTCGCAGATTACAATGACTACACCAAATAAAGCATTGGAGCTACAACTGCAAATTAAGCAAAATGCTGAAGAGCTGCAGGATTTTATGAGAGAATTAGAGAGCTGGGAAAAAGATATTAAGCAGGTGGATTCTGAACTACGGAAGCAGAGTGGTGTCCCAGAAGAGGTAAAATCACAAGTCCAGTGTGAATATTAACACAGCTATTCATGTCACTGTTTCTAATAGTTGCTTGCTTGCTTTTTGCTTTTCCCTTCATATAATGACGTAGATTGATGCAGATGTAGGAACATACTCATTTTGCAAGTGTTTTATTTGAGACCACCCAGTCCACTTCTGCAAAATTACATGTATGGGCTTAAAATACCTACATAGGTGGTGGTGAAGTGAGCTGGTTGATTGATCTTCATCCAGGATTCCTCCATAACTACTTCACCAACAGAGCTGCAGCACAAGTAGCTTATGAGCTGATAGATCCGTGAGGTCAATAAATGTTTAACTGGTTACAGGTAGATCTAGGAATGTTTCATTCAGCAGCCTCTATGTTGCTTATTGTTGACTTTAATATATTGATCTTATTGTCTGGTGATTTGTTTACTTATTTTGTAGAATTCAGAACCATTTTTTTTGTTATGGTTTCTAAAATAAAACCTTATATTTAAAATTTAAAATTTAAAGAATGAACTTTAGCCTCTCTCAATCAATCAGTCTTCTTCAAAATAAGCAGTTTTCATGCCTCTACTGTATAATAAATAAATAACGTCTCTCAATTTAGAATTTACCACCAATTAGAAATGAATCTTTTAAGAAAAAGAAAAGGAAAACCAAAGTCCCCTCAAAGAAAACTACTGAGGAAAACAAGAAAAACAAAATCAAGTCCTACGATTATGAAGCATGGGGAAAACTAGATGTGGTGAGTCAGGATATCTGCTTCTTGCCTTTGTTGTTGTGTCCCCTGTTGATTTTATTTTAAATGGGATTTTGTTTTATTGCTGCAAGTTTAATTTAGAAATCAATATCTTATTGTGCGAAATACTATGTAAACATAGAAAATTGCTTTTTTCTCAAAAGGGTTATATGTTCAATTTTCAAAAGTTGAGCTATATTGCCTATCTAAGTTAACAATAAGTCTATCAAAAGGTTGTAATTCTAGTAGAGTATGACTGCACGTAGCAGTATTGGAGGATGCATCTCTTGTAGAATTTTTTTCAATGAGAACTCTTTTAAGTAGTAGCAATTTTTAAAGATGCACTGCTTACTTTCTTAAGTCCTACTTTATTTTATATTATTAAATTATAATGAAAATAATAGCTTATTTTATTCTAATTTAAGGATAAAATACTTCAAGAACTTGATAAAGAAGATAGTACTCATGAATCTCTATCTCCAGAATCAGACTCTGAAGAAGATGGCATTCGTATAGATACAGAAAAGGCTCTTGCAGAGAAGGAAAAGGTTATTACTTTAACCATTTTTATTTTAAAAATTGTCAACTGAAGCTGCACTTCTGATGGGAGGAGTGTGCCTGTTTTTCGTATTCTTTGTCTGTTTTACCATCTCTTTTCCAAGTATAAAGTTCTTGACATCTTCATGTTCTTATCACTCATTTTGAGAAAGCCCATTAGGCTATGCTTAATGTACAGTTATGATAATTAATGTATTTCTGTTTTTTTCCTTAAAAGTTTGTTTGCCACATAGAATTGCCTTATTCTTCAAATCAGTCTTTATGTGAACATAAGATCACAATACCTAAAACTAAATCTTAAGGGGTTGGATCCTAAGGGCCTTGGTAATGGTGAGTTGGTAGCATGTCAGTTCTGTGCTATTTTGGAAAGACACTACAGCAAACCCTGCCTCATCCTTCTTCTTCTTAGTGCACATAATGAGAATTTATTGAGATTCAAAATAAAAAGTTTCTTTTATTCAGCAAGATCTTCACCAAATGCTGCCTTTGAACTTTGTTCTGAATTTACCAAGTCCCTCTATTCCACTGAATCTGAGAGTAAGATATAATGGCTGACCAATATCTAGACAACTTTCAAGATGTAATAAACAGTCTGTCAACTCTATGAAAATTTCTCAAGGAAAACTGCATTAATTTGGTGCTTAGGTTTTGCAGGTATGCCTGTGAGTCATGCCACGCCCACTATGAAAAATGTTAGCACTTAAGGGCATACAGTAAGTCTTGATTCAAATAACATTTTTTTAATAAGAAAAGGCAACAGTCTCTATAAGGTTCCAGAACGTGTTATTTGTCATACATGACAGATGTCTAAGCAGCAGGGTCATTTAGTCAATCTATGATTAAAACTTCAGTCCTAATAATCCTCTTCAGAGTTCATAGAGTACTACTTCATTACTTTCTAGAAGAAGAAAGAAAAAAAAACCTTGGTGTAACCATAGTTCAGTGGTGCAGGAGGGTTTTTTGTTGTTACTGGCTTTTTTTCTGGGCAAAATATTGCATGACAGATGAAAACCTCAGGTATCTGAAGGTCTTTAAGGTTTCTAGGCTCATGAAGAATTACAGTTATGAGCAAGTGTCTTCACAGTCCTAAAACCTGCTTTTTATCTCCTTCTAATGTTAAATTAGAAGATTCTCTCAGTATTGTTATGTGATGAGTGTTTGATATGTTTGTGATGCCACTGTGTCATAAAGAGACTTTTCATGACTTTTCTCAAAGAGTTAGATATTCCATAAGGAATCTCACATTTGTACTAAGTGGAATGAATAATTTGAACATGAGTTCATTTGTGAATTGTATTATCATGTGAATTACTCTAAGCTTGTATAAAAGCTTCTGTGGTTCTGAGAAAATTTATTTTGCAGACAAGTGCTCTTAACATATATAAGTCTTCAAAAACCACTTCAGTGTTTTTTTTGCTTTCCTATTTCTATGCATGGTGTCATTATCTGCTTTCTTTTCCTGATTCAGTGGGTTTTCCTACAGTATCATCTACGTTTTGAATTGAAGAGAAATTGAGGTGCCTGTGTTTTGGCACCTCAGCCACACCTAAAGAGATGTGGATGCATTAGGTATAAGTTGTGGCATAGAGGAAGACAAAAATAGACTCTCATAAAATGGCAGTATATCTATTTTAAAATGAAATCCACATAGAAAGCTATTATTTTAGGTGAATAAAATCTTTTCCTCCACGTTGTTTTCAACTGGAATGTATGTATTTATCTTGGATACTACCGGTTTTAATGCTGAGAAGAAAATGGCTCCTTACTTGATTTCTGTGTATATATGTGCACAGAATGTAGTCTCTCTTTTTTGTTGTTGTTGTTTTTGTTTTTTTCATTAGTTAAATTTGTCAGGTTAAGATTGTAGTCCGCTGAGCTGTTACGCCAAAGGAAAAATTGTAGAAGAGACTAGACTATCCAAGGTTGCTAAATCTAGTCCGAAGAAAAGAAAAATATTAATGATTCCACATGGCTATTTGAGCAGTTTTGTATATACTTATTCTAGGTTTGTGAAAATGGCCTACAGTCTTGAAAGATCCTGAAAATAAATCTATAATAAATCCTGTTTTATTGCATAAGTGATGAAAAATGTTTAATATGGGATGTTTAAAGTGTTTAGGTTAAAGGAAACATTTCAAGGCAAAGCAGGGCTTGGTGAGCGATGTTAAACAAGAACATTTGAGTTTTCTAAAATATAAGCCTTTGGATTTTTTTGTTTTTTTTTTTTTAAAAAAGTAATATATTATTATACACTAATTTACAAAAATGATATATGTTTTTAATATTCACAGGGTAATAAGTACTTTAAACAAGGAAATTTTGATGAAGCAATAAAATGCTATACTCGAGGGATGCATTTTGATCCTTACAACCCAGTATTGCCCACAAACAGAGCATCTGCTTTTTACAGAATGAAAAAGTAAGATATATATTGTTAAATTCTTTTTTAAAAAAATTTTGTCTTGCTTCAGATTTTAGGTTTGTTTTTTATGTCCTGATTATCTTAATAATCGTGCTGTAATATGAAGGTCTGTGTAGGACTGCAGTCCAAATCAATTGGATTTGAATCCAATTCAAACTAAAATTGGATTTACCAGGATAAGGAATCTAGTAGTCTGTCGTCTTTCTTTCCCTCTATTTTCATGACAGTAGTTTAATATCTTTATTATTATGTAAGAGATGGAAAAGAGAAATAGAGAAAGTTCATTATATAATTTGCTCTTCACATTCTTTTAGCACTGTTTCTAAGGCTGTAATTTCTTTGGGCAGAAGAGTGTGGTGTAGTTGGTTAAATGCAGTTTGGTTAAGTTGTGAAGAATGCAAGATTTCCACTTTGGAGAAAATTTGTAAAACTTCAGAGTAGGCTGAGTTGCTGAAGTTTGAGATTTTTTCAAACTAACTCGTTCACTTTATTTATAGATATTCTGTTGCAGAATCTGATTGCAATTTAGCACTTGCTCTAGATAAAAATTACACAAAGGCTTATGCCAGAAGAGGGGCTGCTCGCTTTGCTTTGAAAAATCTTCAAGGAGCTAAAGAAGGTGGGTCTTTTTATGCATTTGTTCTAGTACATGCAATCTAATCATATATCTACTTGATTAAAGCTTATTTGATGCAGGAATTTATTTTCCATTTTCTATAAACAGAGAAATAAAATACTAGATTTCATTTTTCTGGTAAGGTAAAATTCAAGTAGAACATCCAAAAGATTACAATAGCCCTAGACAACTGGAGTAAATCAGCTTTAAATGTCTTGAAACAATACGTTCTTTGAAATATCTCAAGTTGGCCATTTCATTGGATGCTTGTATTTTATATTCTGTTACCTAACCTTAGTTTACACCTAAAACGTAGGTTTTTTTATCTTCTCATAGATTATGAAAAGGTTTTAGAGCTGGATGCCAACAACTTTGATGCAAAAAATGAACTGAAGAAAATTTACCAGGTAATAGTTGCTTGCATAAGTAAAAGAGATTTTTCTTGCATTTGAAATTCACCAAGACCAAGGTCTGTAATTTGTTTTAGATGAGCTGGCATGTATGCAAATGTTGGTGGAATGATAGGTTTGCAGACTGAGATGAGGGCACCAACTGCTAACCTCCCTCCAGCCCCTGCCCTGTTTCCCCCCCCCCCCCTCCCCTCAAATGTTTTTTTCTACCTCTCATGTTGTTTTTTCCTCTGGTTATGCTTAGCATTCAGATACAATCTGCAGGGTTTCACTGGCACATGTGAGGACATGTATATTCTCTTAGTCACAAATTAATGCTAACTGCTGGCATGCTTGTAGTTCCACTGAGTCTTACGACGCACTAAGCCAGAGTGTGGTTTAAGCATAGCAGAACATCATAACCTGTTGCAAGTGTGAAGTGCTGATTATGATGACTTTAGTAGACTATAAGCTCAACTAGCATTAGCATGTGAATATGCTTGTACTTCCAACTGTTGTTTTGAATAGCTGGAGAAAATGTCTTTTCTTTCCAAAAGTGAAGGCCCAAAATCTTTAATAACTTTTTTCTTTTAATTTTAAACTGCAACATACAGGCATTTGCATGGATTGTTTTGCATTGTTCTTCAGAAATTGCGTACCTTTTCTTTTTCTGATTCACAATCCTTTACCGAAATATATCTTTTTAAAAAAAAAGTTTTTAAAAAATAAATTTAAAAAAATTAAACATCTTAAAAGTTTAGAATGCGTATATTCTTAAATGCATATCTGAGCAAGGGAAATGCATGTTGAGAAACCGTGCTTGATCATTTTGCAGGCTTTATCATCAAATTCAGAACAGAAAGAGATTGAAGATGCAGTCCAACCTGAATCATCAGATAAAGAGAAGCAGCACATGGAAGAGCAGCAGCTGAAGCAGAAGGCTATTACAGAAAAGGATCTGGTAAGACACAGCTTTCAGTGGGATAGGAGAAGTAATGAAGAAAAGTGTTGTATTGCACTATTGGCTATACAAATATATAAACTTGAAAATCCCGTGAAGTTCATATATACAGCTTTTACAGCACTTCTGGTACACAGTGAATTTCACATAGATGGTAAGCGAAGCAAAACAGTAACTGTATTTTGCAAAGATCCAGTTTCTTTGGTATTATATGCACCTTGACCTCTGCTTGTCCGAGTAGTCTTGTAGACTGTTTTTTTAAATTTCAAATGTCTGATAAAGAGAGTGAAAAGTAAAACTATTTACTTCAAGAGGGAAAGGAAAATCAATGCTATTGATGCATCATTTTGTGACTGGATAACGTTTAATAATGGCATTACTTAAAATTTTATCCATAGAATATTAAGGATTTGTTTGGCTCTTGATTTAGGCCTGTTTTTGTTTGTTTTCAGAATGGCTTGTGTTGCTTAATTGGCTACTGAGTGGCTTATACTACACCTGAACACTGAAGAAAAAAATCATATTTATAGTGTCTACCTTTATTTTTTTTTTCCTGTATGTGTTATCTTTCCTTCTAGTGCTGAAATAAGAATTCAGCTTTTTGTGGTCTACAAAAGAGTATAGATAGGAAAAAATATGCTATAAATACCTGCTGTAGTATCATTGTTGGTTATGAGACCTCGTCTTCATAGATGTAGAGTTCACAGTAGTATGGCTTACTAACAAGATGAGCAAAGCAAATTTCACTGAATCTTTTGCAATGATTTTTTTTTCCTAATATAATAGGGTAATGCTTACTTCAAAGAAGGGAAGTATGAAACTGCAATTGAGTGTTACACACGTGGTATAGCAGCAGATGGCACCAATGCACTTCTGCCAGCTAACAGAGCTATGGCCTATTTGAAGATTCAAAAGTAAGTAGTATTGCACATGTAATGCTATTTCTTTTGTTGCTGTGAATTAGCAGTAGTGGATTTTCACCAAAGATCAGTTACTGTCACTTGTACTAACTCTGTAGAATTTGGTATAGAAAGAGACACAATGGAAGAGATAAGTGAATAGTCTTGCAGTGTGTGTTTTAGAAAAAAATGCCTAAAGAATGAAATGGCAATAGTCTGAAATTATAGAGAAAAGTAGTTTTCCTAAAGTTTGTGATTTTCTTTTTTCCCCTCTTCCACATACACACATTTCTATCTGTGTGTGAAGCCCTAGTTTCTCAGAGGGCTTGCCTAAAGCTATATATTTTTGACAGTTATAAAAACCAGTCAACTGCTAAATGTCATGCAATATAAAGAAATAGATAACTTCAGACTCAGAGTCTTTCAGCTTTTTCCAATGTGTACATGTTTTGATAATTTTCAATTATATTTTACTCAATCCACTAAAAGTAGGAAATGTGCTACATGAGAGAAATTCTGCATGATCATTTTTGAAATCTCTGAAATCTTTTGTCTCAACTACTTGAGATCTGTGTAACAATTTAAATCTTTTAAATTGACAATATGAGAAGCAGGAGCAATCTGGGAAGCTCAACACTATGTTTGCCATCTGTTCTAGCATGCTGTAGCTGGATATCTGTGAAGGCCACTCAAATTGTAAGACTATAGAACATGTTGCACTGGTAGAATTTTTCTATCACAATACTTAAAATTTAGTATTGAAACAATAAGAGAATATCATAAGACAAGTAATGCTAAGAAACAGAATCATAGGAAATTTTGCTTTAATTGAATGACCAAGCAAGAAAATTGATTCTGTAAGATAAATCACCATATCATGGGTCTTTACACTTCAAAGTGAACACAAATATAAAATGCAGCAGAAGCTCATTGGTATTCTTACAAACCTGTAAAACCAGAACTGATCAGAGCTGCAAAAATACTTAGTTCTTAAATTTATTGATAGACTGAAGGAGGAGAGAGGAGGGATGAAAGAAAATACTTTAATATGTCCATAGTGGAATCATGATCAAATATAACTGGAATGAGGATATTTGATCCTACACTGAGAACAAATGACATTCAGGGATATGCTGAATTTGACAATGAATATTTCAGAATGAGAAATCAAAGAAATGCAGACCTAGAAAGATTATTTTTGCATGTCCTTGTTTTTCTTTTGTTGTATTCTTTTGATTGTTTGTAATGGTAATTCTGGTTTTCAAAAGTACAAAGCTGTGATGTTTACTTTCCTTTTAAGGTTGCTTAACATCTAAAAGTTGAATTGGCTCTGACAGACTTTAAGGACACTTCTTTTCTCAGAGAAAGTAAATTTCTGTAAAATCCTATCAAGAGAGGCAGCAGTTTTTTGTGACATACCAATGAATTGTCTGAAATTTGGGGAGTTGAGGAATTGCAATGTATGTTCCTCCAAGCCTTAGAAGATGGTTTTGGGAGCTTCTGTAGTCAAAGCTCTGATGAAATGTCTTGGAAGACAGAAATAGCCTATTTCCTCAATTAAACCTAAAACCTATAATTAGGCATTTTGACCCAAATCAAGCTACTTTATATTGGGATAAGTCATTAGACAAATGAAGACGTTTAGCACCCTAAGTCTTGGGTGTTCCATTTTTAACTCATATTTTAAATGTTTTGGGTAGCCCTGTTTTTTCCATTGAAACTTCTTTTCGATTGAAGCTTCTTTTGAAAGAGGTTATTAATTTTGTGCTATTCTTCTGCTGAGGTATGAAGAGGCTGAAGATGACTGTACGCAAGCTCTGCTATTAGATGCCTCCTATTCTAAAGCTTTTGCTAGGAGAGGGGCTGCCAGAGTTGCTCTTGGAAAACTGAAAGAAGCCATGCAAGGTAAGCCTGGATTAGCATTAACAGGTGGAAGAGAGTGGAGAAGAAAACCCTTGCCTGTTTTACCTTCTAATAGCGATTAAATCAGTTGCTGACTAATTGAGGTTTAGTGCAAAACTTCAGAATGAGTGGAGGGTTTTTGAGGGATTGTTTTTTTGTTTTGTTTTTGCTAATAGAATATGTATTATAGAACCTCTGTGTTAGTATCCACATGGTAAGAATACAGATTTGTGTGTAGTTATGTGTGCATAATGGAGACATTTCCAAAACTATGCAACTTTTTCAAAATTATTAATTAACATTTATGCTAACTCAGTGTTAGGATTACCCATAAAAGAGATTTATATATACTGGAGATGGACACACACACAGGCTAGGCATTGAGACCCTAACTTTTGTAGTAGTCTGAAATTATGTATGAAACATTTCGTGATTAATTGTATATTGCAGACTAAATTAAAAAAACAAGAGAAGTAAAGAATATTCTACTTGATTTTTGTTTTATGTATCTACTCTTGATTTTGCTGTTGCTGTAAGGTGAAGTCAGGCTTGGGTGGGTATCTGTGGCTACTTTGCTGTTGCTTATAGTAAATAGTAAGAAATAGTTTGAAAAATATGTTTAAAATTAGATTGCAATGTAAATGGTGGGTGACTTACCATATATTATTTTAAGAATTATAGGAAGAAAACGAGGTTTAAACAATGTATAAGTACTGTTTAGCATAGTTGAAATGCACAGTTTCATATATTAATTTCTCACTCAGATTTTGAAGCTGTTCTGAAGTTGGAACCTGGCAATAAACAGGCAACAAATGAACTTGCTAAAATAAGGAATGTACGTATACTTGTGATTATTTTGTTTTTCTAAGCTTATAGTAATAGCATGTTTTATTCTCTATTAAATACATTTTAATTCATATTATAAGGATTTCTGAAATTTTCTGAACAACTGTTCATTCTACTTTTAAGGAATTATCTGAGAAAGAGCAGTGGACTCATCCAAAATATCCTGAAACATTGGTAAAGGAAAGTGAAATACAAAATATAGTGAAAGTCATTGAAGATCCATCACTCCTGAAAACAACAGTAAGTACTTTTCTTTGTAATTGAATTCAGAGAATGAAGGAAGAAGTGTATTTTTAAAGTTAAAATTCACTTTTTGTTTATTTGTGTGACTACCTACTGATATGCATGTTTTACATGTGCAAATCCAAGGTTTAGAGATGGGGCTATTCAGTGTTTTTTGGGACTAACTGCATTTCCATATGTGTGTAACAGTGAATACATAGGCACAGTGTAAACATTCAGCCTTCAGTGCTGCCCAGGAAACCTGCTGCCTGCCTGGGTGCCAGTAGTGCTCAATGGGGAGGAGATGCCTGTGTCCACAGCTGCCAGGGAGGATGAGAGTAAAAGGGGGGCAGCTGACTGGAGGCTTCAGAAAACTCTGAGTAGAATCCCTTTCTCTTTCTGCTGAGCTAGATTTCTCTAGTAGATTTGGTGATAACAAGACATGTTGTCTGTCCCTATTCTCATACTGTGGTGTCATCCAAAGGTACCACGCTAACCTCAATCCTGCATTTTCATCCATGTAGCATGTTGGTTAACTGGCCAATCACTCAAGAGGAATGTTATTTTAGGAGTGAATTATCTGTGGTACTGGTCAAATTAATGAGTTAGAAGATACTATGGCAATATATTGAGCAATATAAGCTTTGTTTATGTATTAGACTGCCCCTTTTAGTACATGTAATTCTTTTTGTACATTTGGAAGCAAGTTCTTCTGTAAGTATAAAGTGTGTTCACACTCTGTGCAGAATAGTGTTTTGCTCTTCTGAATTTTATTTAGCTCTGTTATTTATATACTTCAAATGGATAGTTTGGTAGAAAAGCTTGGATTATTTTAATACTGGCTTTTAAGCATATTACATGCTAGATGAAATAGCTTTTAAAACCTGAATTGATTGTGGCCAAAATACTATAGAAAATTAAATTTCACTCCAGTCTTCAAAAAGGGCAAGAGGGAGGAGCCGGGCAATTACAGGCCGGTCAGCCTCACCTCTGTCCCTGGAAAGGTGATGGAGCGGTTCATCCTAGAGAGAATCTCCGGGCACATGGCGGAGAAGAAGCTGCTGAGGAGCAGTCAGCATGGAGTCACCAAGGGGAAGTCATGTCTGACGAACCTCATAGCCTTCTATGATGGGGTGACAGGCTGGCTGGATGAGGGGAGAGCCGTGGATGTTGTCTACCTTGACTTCAGCAAGGCTTTTGACACTGTCTCCCACAACATCCTCATACGGAAGCTCCGGGACAGTGGGCTAGACGAGTGCACGGTGCGGTGGATCGAGGGCTGGCTGGATGGCAGAGCTCAGAGGGTGGTCATAAATGGGGCCGAGTCCAGGTGGAGGCCTGTGGCCAGTGGTGTCCCCCAGGGGTCAGTACTGGGCCCAGTGCTGTTCAACTTGTTTATCAATGACCTGGACGAGGGCACGGAATGCACCCTGAGCAAATTTGCGGATGACACCAAGCTGGGTGGAGTGGCCGACACTCCGGAGGGCTGTGCTGCCATCCAGAGGGACCTGGACAGGCTGGAGAGTTGGGCAGAGAGGAACCTCATGAGGTTCAATAAGGACAAGTGCAGGGTCCTGCACCTGGGGAGGAATAACCCCAGGCATCAGTACAGATTAGGGGTCGACCTGCTGGAAAGCACCTCCACGGAGAGGGACCTGGGAGTCCTGGTTGACACTTAAGTTAACCATGAGTGAGCAGTGTGCCCTCGTGGCCAAGAAGGCCAATGACATCCTGGCCTGCATCAGGAGGAGCGTTGCCAGCAGGTCAAGGGAGGTGATTCTGCCCCTCTACTCAGCTCTGGTGAGGCTGCACCTGGAGTACTGTGTGCAGTTCTGGGCACCCCAGTATAGGAAGGACGTGGAGCTTCTGGAGAGGGTCCAGAGAAGGGCAACCAGGATGATTAAGGGAATGGAACATCTCTCGTATGAAGAGAGGCTGAGTGAGCTGGGCCTTTTTTCTCTGGAGAAGAGACGGCTCAGAGGGGATCTGATTAATATGTATAAGTTCAGGAAGGGAGAATGCAGGGAGGAAGGGGACAGGCTGTTCTCACTGGTGGCCAGCGATAGGACGAGGGGTAATGGCCACAAACTGAAGCATAAGAAGTTCCGTCTCCAGGTGAGGAGCAACTTCTTTACTGTTAGGGTAACAGAGCAGTGGAACAGGCTGCCCAGGGAGGTTGTGGAGTCTCCTACTCTGGAGGTCTTCAAAACCCGCCTGGATGCCACCCTGTGCCACATGCTGTAGGTGTGCCTGCTTGAGCAGGAAGGTTGGACTAGATGATCTGTAGAGGTCCCTTCCAACCTTAAATATTCTGAAATATTCTGAAATTCAGTTCTCAGTTTGATTGCTGACTTAATTGGAGATACTAGGCTGCTTTTCAAGTGTAATTCTGTTAAGGTTGGTCTCTACTCTTTATTGCCCAAGACCTGGAGAGAGATTTCTGATTTTCAATCTCTCTTACCCAATGTCCCAGTTCTCATACAGGGATGGGATGTTTTGAAAGCAAGCCATATATTGTCTGTCATCACCAACCCAGCAGGATTTTTGGACCTGATTTAAAGCGAAGTGTGAACTAATGCGGAGGCTAAATTAATTAACACATTGAACTGTTAGCTGGCAGAAAAATCTGCCACGTCAAGACATCTAAATTATTGAATATGTTTAATTATGTATATTTGCAGAGGAATTGTACACTGCATTTTATGTTCAGTGAATGAAATTCCCAAGTAAAAAGTGCTCAATTCCTTTTCTTACTAAGCGATGCCTCCTCTTAAGTGTTGTAAAGGTGGTATTTGGCAGTGTTCAAAAATAACAGTGGTCATGAAGATATGAAATCTAATAACTGACCAAAATGGAATAATCTGAAGCATTTTATATGCATTCAAATTCAAATGTGAAGTTATGGATGTAAAATCAGGGTTGCCGATTCCTATGTACTTAGATAACTTTTTAGGCAAAATGCAAAGATTAATAAAGCCACTAGTCAAAATACACGTTTGTCCTTGCCCATTCATCTCTTTTAGGAATAAAAATAAAAAATAAATTAATGATATGTCATTACTGGAAAGTAGGAATGAAGATTCTGAGATCCTATATGGAATGAAGCAAGAAAATGGTCACAGAGCACTTTCCATAGAATGTGTTAAGTTTCCTATTTTGGCATTTATTTTAAATGGTCTTACATGTGCACCAACTCAAGAGAACCTGCCTGGTTATCATGAGATTGCTGTTTCAGCCCTTTTCCGATGTGTTTTATGTATGTGGACTTGAAAGCTGTGCACGTGACACTAGGTATGTGTTCTGTTTAGAAGCCTTTGAGAAGAATAGTCATTGAAGAAGTTGATGATGATGACGACATACAAAATAGTGATTTTCCCAGCAGTTCTTCTTTAGTCAATAATTGGAGGGATTCTACAAGTATTGAAACAACTGAGAAGCTCGCTGAAGATGATCACTTTACTTCAATGGACATTCCAAAAGCAAAACAATTGAAAATAGAAGAAATCAGCGATAGTCCAACAGTACAGTAAGTATAAACATTCCACTTATTTTTTGAAAGGTAAATGTAGCTGAAATCTTCATTTTACAGATTTCTACATGTGATGTTAAAACATCACATATAGGAATGTAGAGTTTTGTTTACAAGAGGAAGTGTTTAAAAAACCCTGTGATTCTTGCACATCTACCTCTTTGGTGTGGTTGAAACAAATATGATCCGTTTAGATGGAAAACTACTTAACATGAATAATTCTTGACCATATATTCCAAATATATAAAAGTAGTATTTTCACATTTATTCTGTGGTCTTTCTTGTGACCTTTATCCTTAACATCTGTGATTTTTTTTTTTTTGAGGTATTTAAGCAGAGCTTAAACATGGTCTTTACACACCAGTGCATCTTGTGCAATAAAAGGCATAGAGATGACAGTGTCATTTACTGTTCTCTACTGAGTAGGAAGCCTTTAACTTCAGGTTTGCTCAGGATTCCTGGTGGTGACTGTGTTGTCTAGAAATAACCAAATGTGGCTGGGTGACAGTAGGCTGAACTATAGAAGCTGTCTGTTTGCCAGCCAAGTGCTGCAGCTCTTCGTGTTGTCAGCCTAGGAAAGGGTATGTGTGCACCAGCCTGTCTCATCGTGCTAATAGTAGATACTCTGTGTGACATATTGATGAGTTTCTGTGGGAATCTCAGATGAATTTAGTGTGAAGTGCTGAAGACAAAAGTATTTTTATATGTATAAGTATTTTTTCTGTGACTTCTGAAAAACAAATGAACTTCAGTGATGAGTTATAGAACAATAAATAGCTCCACTGTAATCAATGTTGAAAACTATTTGTTCATCTGATGTTATGGCTTCACATTATGAAATTGCAGAAAAACAAGGTTTTTTTTTTCAGCTGTATATGGTAAAAACTTGTTCCATAAAATATAGTTATTTCCAGAAACAAAGTAGAGCCAGACTGAGTATATTTATCAGTTTTTGCATAGTATGCCTATTTGTTTTTAAGAAAAGATAAATTAGTTATAAAGTTTTTCATGGTTTGAAGAGTTTTGTAGTTTCTTCTTAAAATGCCCATTTGAGCAAAACTACTATCAGTGCTTCAAAAATTATTGTGTTTTAGATTTTTTTCAGGAATTCAAAGCTATTGTTCCAGTTATGTCCGTGTAAGATTCCCAGAGTGTTTCCTGGATTATGAATTTCCAAATCTCTCTTCAGGCTTCCCAGCAGTGTGAAAGGAATTTCATCAGTTATACATCCGCCTTTGGCTATGAAAAAGAAGGTAGAAAAAGAAGTCAAAACATCAACTCGATCTGTGTCTCCAGTCCCTGTTATTCCTTCAAATTCTTTCCAGCTTGAGTCTGATTTCAGAAAGTTGAAAGAATGTCCAGAAAAAATGTACCTGTATCTGAAGGTATGAAATATGTAGTATTAATCCTAACTGATACTGAAGAATAGCCCAAATGACTGAAAAGGGGAGTTACATTTAAGTTACATGACTTACTAGTGTACACTGGTATTTAACTAGTGGCAAAAAGTAAGTAGTTTGATCCACATTCAAATGGTCCTGCTCTTTTGTATGATTTCACTGACAGAGTGATATCTGCATAAGTCATTCCTATCTCCCAAACATTAGCCCCAATTCCAAAAATGGTTAAATACATTAGAAGAAGCCCTGCTAAATTCTTTTTATTCAGATGAATAACTCTGTTAGTTAGACATGGCAGCATTCTTATCTCTGAGCTGCACACATACTTGAAGCACATCAGTCTACTTAATAAGTTTTTGGTGAAAGATAGTTTTTTTTGAGAAGTTAACCTAGCAATCTTCTTACAAATCCCTCCATGCCTCCGAGAACAAAATGTATTTGTATTCAATATAGACTAGATTCCGTGTCAACTAGTAGAGTACTAATTTGTTTTTCTTTTCTGGTATAATGCACTTGTAGTATTGTCCAAGGGATTATAAAAACTCATTTGTAATTGTAATCATGACTCAGCTATGTTTGCCTTTAACATCTTTTTTTTTTTCTGTTTCTTCCAAAGCAAATAGCACCTTCATTTTATCCAAAGTTGTTCCAGAAGTCCTTAGATCCAGATTTGTTTAATGAGATACTGAAAATTCTACATGATTATTATATTGAGTAAGTTCAGTTCCTCCTTTGCTATGTAGAGGTTTACATTGCTTATTGATACTTCGTTCAGTTCTTTCCATTGCCCCAGTCATTGGAATGATCCGGTTGCTTCTTATTGAGAAATAAAAATTAACTTGAAAAACTAGATTGAAGTGTAAAAGTATAAAGTATAAAAAGCTTTTAGGGTATAGAAAAGGCATTTGCTGTACATTGTTGACTTCGATTCATAGAATTGGTATTAGCTAATATGAAATAATTTGTCTTTTGTTCAGATTACTGTTTATGCAGTTACTGCATATAACTGCAAAGTACTCTTTTGAAAAAGAAATAACCAAAAAATGCCAACAGTTTAATTATTTTTCTCTGCTATGTTAACTGTGATGCATTCTGAATTTTTTTTTAATTACCTGCTAATATTCTACAGTAAAGCAGTATGTAGTAGCAATTAAATATTGGAGCTGGGAACTGGGACTTTAGGTTGTTTTAATGCAGACAAGCAAGTTCTATTCATTTCTTTAAAAGCAAATGCCCATAATGTTTTTGAAGAACAGTTTCCCAAGTACTGTGGGCCTGCTTTTGGTAGTATGACATAGAAAGACTAAGGAGTTGCAGTTGTTTTCAGTAAGGCAAAAAGGTGTTTCTTATGGAAGTAGATGTAGCAGGCTGTTGAAATAGTTGAAAATAGTTTTTATTGTTATCATTTGTAACACAGGTAGTACCTCCTTGTTGTTGCCCAAAAATGAAATGAAATTACAACCTTGAAATTTTCTTTACATATAAAAATAACAGCAACTCTGTAGAGGATGCTTTTTGCTGAGATTTTTGTAAACATAGATGATATATTCTCACATTCCCCCCGCCCCGCACGCACGTACATATGTTCTTTCTACTTCTACCAAAGTGTAGAAAAATAACAAACTTATGATGAATTGTTTACAACATACCTTATAATAACTATTCTGTGCCTCAGCAACAGTCATTTTGCAATGCTTGCACGCTGCTGTGTAGGTGTTTGCTTTTTGCTTTGTGAGCTTTTACAGAATATTTAAGGTTGGAAGGGACCTCTACAGATCATCTAGTCCAACCTTCCTGCTCAAGCAGGCACACCTASAGCATGTGGCACAGGGTGGCATCCAGGCGGGTTTTGAAGACCTCCAGAGTAGGAGACTCCACAACCTCCCTGGGCAGCCTGTTCCACTGCTCTGTGACCCTAACAGTAAAGAAGTTGCTCCTCACCTGGAGACGGAACTTCTTGTGCTTCAGCTTGTGGCCATTACCCCTCGTCCTATCGCTGGTCACCAGTGAGAACAGCTTGTCCCCTTCCTCCCTGCATTCTCCCTTCCTGAACTTATACATGTTAATCATATCCCCTCTGAGCCGTCTCTTCTCCAGAGAAAACAGGCCCAGCTCACTCAGCCTCTCTTCATACGCTTAAGAGCTTAAGAGCAGTAAGGACATCTTGCAAGGAAGGAGGTTCCCTTGGTCTTTTAATATTTCTGAAATCTTTAATCTTGCTTGCAGCTGCTGAATCTTTCTATTCAACAGTACTTATTTTTCTGTATCTAATAATGTTTTTTTAGGAAAGAGGAGCCATCACTCATCTTTGAAATCCTCCAGAGGCTATCTGAATTAAAAAGATTTGATATGGCAGTAATGTTTATGTCGGGCTCGGAGAAGAAAAGTAAGTAATTCGGTAGCGCTTTTTTAAACTTGGATTGTGATACTATAGAGTCTAACAAGGGATATGTAAAATGTAGTGCTACTCTTCATGGGGATCACCACTGTTTAATTGTCTCTTTCACAAAGGTACTAAATTTATTAGTTCTAGCATTGGCGCTTTCCAGCTTACCTACAAAATAAACTACAGCAAAAATAACAGATATCTCCAAACACTCGGCCCATTTTCTGTTTTCCACCATCCTCTTCTTGAAGCATTAGTTAAATGAGTTCGCAGTTCAGGTGGACTTCGGCTTGGTTTTCTGGTTCATAAAGGTGTGTGTTTGACACTATTTACCAAACCAACAGACTATTTATCAGTGAGACAATTAAAAGCAAAGATTTCTGTGGGACCTATATACATCAGAGTTTCATTAATATTCATTAAGCTTTTACATAACAGTTTTCAGTCTCTTCAGATTAACATATCTTGTTTGACAGTTAAATTCAGATAAGTTCTATCTACAAATGTTATGTGGTATTCAAGCCATAACCCTCTGCAGGTTTTGTCTGTTACCTGCCATTAAGTTTTTTCTTCTGTGTTTAATGGAGTAGTGCAAAAATAGTAAAGAAAATCTGTCTATGTTGTCAGGATTATGTACCTATTTAAGAAAATAGTGTTAGGCAGCTCTGTTTATCCAAACAGAAAGGTCGTCGTCTTAATTTTGTTTTCATCTTATTAAGGGCACTAGTTTAAATTGCCATAACTCAACCCTTGTTCTTATACTGAGGAAAGAGTTGGTAATTTACTCTAAGTCTGTGAGTCACAAAAATAACACGTAATGTTGGACTTATGTTTTTACAGTTGTGCAAGGGCTGTTCAATCATTTGAATGTCTTGGGACTGAAAGATCCTTCTGTTGAAGAACTGAAGAAGAAATACGGAGTTTTCTCTTAGTGCGGTTACTGTCATTACATCTGTAAATTGCTCTATTTCCACATTTCTGTCTTGTGGAAATCGTCCGAAGGAGTCTGTGCAGAATGCAAATTCTGTTGCTTTTGTATAAGTAATGAAACTCTTATACTTGATTTAGCAAACTGGCAAGTGCCTGGAGAGATAATGACTAAACTGTGCAGGTAGGTTTGCTTTCCAGCTCCTGCGACAGGATGGATCTATATTTTCTTCAGTGGACTCTTGAAAAAGCTGCTCGAGTGGATTGGCATTCGGAATGGAGCCTGTAGGTAGAGATCTTTATTGAAAAGGAAAAAGAATATTTATAAATGTCTTCAGTAAGAATCAGATGATTTACTTGATGTCTATTACAAACCTACTTTTTTTTATTTTAGAAAATAAATGTTGTATTCAAAAAAAATCAAAATTGTGAGAAAGTATCTTATCGAGGTACTAAATCACTTCTCTCTGAAGATACAGTAAATTAGACTATGCAATATGCTAAGCAAACCTGAGGTTTGTTGGCCAAAAAATTACAAATTTCTTTTTCTGCGTTTCTCTACTGTTTATCCCAAAGTCAGATTTTGACATTGATGGCTAAGATGTTCCTGTGAGCATAAACTCTGATTTGAGAATAGAAGGAGGAAAAACAATATGAAATTGAAAGACAGAGGGAAATGGAAGTATTCTGTATTCTTTGGATGGTACTTTTTAAATTGTCTGATGAAATTTATCCCCCAAGTCAGTGGTTAAATAGATACGCAGAGAAGTTTCAAAATGTGAAATAACCTGAAAATTATAGATGAGAGAAGAAATAGTTGGGCAGAGGCATCATACGTTCTAGCCTGTTTGCATGATTAGAAGGAGGAAAGCATAGCGCTTGTCAGCATAATGTTTAAAAATCCTACCAAGCTTCTGAAAATTTGACAGTGTATGTCTCTGGACTGGAGTGTATTTTTTTTATCTGTTCTTATCCTTATTTGCCACATTGCTTTCACCTTGATTCAGACTTTGTGACTTCCTAATGCTTTTCTTACTGTTGAAGCTTTCTGACATTAATGCATTTGTTTTCATATTTGTACTTTTTTTTTTTTTTTCCTCCAGAGCACTAGTGCAACAGTTAATCACAGAATAGTTGAGGTAGAAACGGACCTCTGGAAATGATCTAGTCCAATCCCCTCTGCTCCAGAGTGCATGGAACAGGGTGGCATCCAGGCCGGTTTTGGAAGATCTCCAGGGAAGGAGACTCCACAGCTTCCCTGGGCAGCCTGTTCCAGGGCTCTGTCACCCTCACAGGAAAGAAGTTCTTCCTCACATGCAGATAGAACTTCCTGAGTTTCAGTTTACACCCATTACCCCTTGTCCTGTCACTAGCCACCACTGAGAAGAGCTTGGTCCCCTCTTCCCTACATTTTCCCTTCAGGTATTTATACATATTAATCGGATCCCCTCTCAACCTTCTCTTCTCCAGGCTAAACAGGCCCAACTCACTCAGTCTTTCCTAGTATGATAGATGCTCTACTCCCTTAATCATCTCTGATGCCTTCCACTGGACCCTCTCTAGAAGCTCCACATCCCTCTTGTCCTGGGGAGCCCAGAGCTGCACACAGTACTTCAGGTACAGCCTCACCAGAGCTGAGCAGAGGGGCAGGATCCCCTCCCTTGACCAACACTCTTCCTGATGCAGGCCAGGATCCCATTGGCTTTCTTGGCCACAAGGGCACATTGCTGCCTCATAGTTAACTTGTCTACCAGGACTTCCAGGTCCCTCTCTGTGGAGCTGCTCTCCAGCAGGTCAACCTCTAATCTATCCTGATGCCTGGGGTTACTCTTCCCCAGGTGCAGGACCCTACACTTGTCCTTGTTGATCCTCATGAGGTTGTTCTCTGCCCTCAGAGTTGCAGCCTGTCCAGGTTCCTCTGAATGGCAGCAGAGCCCTCCAAAGTGTCAACCTCTCCACCCAGCTTGGTATCATCCACAAACTTGCTCGTTGTGCACTCTGTGCCCTTGTCCAAGTCGTTGATGAACAAGTTGAAGAGCACAGGGCCCAGTACTGAGCCCTGGGGAGGCACCACTGGCCACAGGCCTCCAACTGGACTCGGCCCCATTTATCACCACCCTCTGAGCTCTGCCTTCCAGTCAGTTCTCAATCCACCTCACTGTCTACCTCTCCAGTCCACACTTCCAGAGCTTTCCTATGTGGATTTTATGAGAGACAGTGTCAAAAGCCTTGCTGAAGTCAGGGTAGACAACATGCACAACTCTCACCTCATCCATCCATTCTGTTATTCCATTGTAGAAGGCTATCAGGTTCATCAAACATCCCCTTGGTGAATCCATACTGACTACTCAATACTTCAAAAGATTCCAAATTTCCAGGACAGATTAGTAGGACTAGGATTGAATGTTATCTTCTTTTTTGAAATCTAACTTTGGACTTTCCCAGCTGTTTAATGTGCTAGTTCAAGTACAGTCTGAAAAAATGTGGCTGAGCTATGTCCTCAATTGGGTCTGAGTTTTAACTGATGTGAGTCTAGGTCGCATAGGTAGCTTTGAGTTAGGTCTAAAAATAAGTGATAGGACAATAACCACTGTTACCAGGGAAATGGAAGAACCTTTGAAGAACACTGGTTGTTGCCTGCCTACAGTATGAACTGTTACTCCTCTGTGTGTCTCATGTTACTTGATAAAAAGCTATTTTTTTCCTGCTGTTATAAAGTACTTCTGAAAACGTATAACTGGTTTTGCTGCAGCTAATAGATGTGAATGAAAAGTTCTTATCAAAGCAATTTTAAATACCTACAGCTGTCCTCCAAAGGCCTGTCATTTGAGCTCTTTAGTGGCCTTCAAATACAGCTGTACTTGTCCAGGGTTATGTTAATGGTAACATTGGGCGTCTTACCTAGAGCAGTTTCCTGAAGGCTGTTGGTGAATAGCAGGTGATAGTAATATGGGCCCCTAAAAGTAAAAGTTTAAGATGGTAGAAGAAATGTTGGAAGTTGTAGGCCAAGATTCACAGCTCCATCCACTCTGCTGTGCCTTTACAGAGCGCAAGCTGCTGCCTTCTGCTCCCAGTCTAAGGCAGAGTCCTCCCGAGTGCTCATACGTGATGGGGTGGGCTGCTTGAAAGGAAGCTGTTCCTTCAAGGAGAATTTAAGAATGTTGGCGAATGGGTCTATTTCATGTTTCTGTTGAAATTAGGACACCAAGACTTATCTCATATACTGCACTGTGCTCTGTAGCTTGCTGTTTATGCTTCTGAATGCAGTGTCTGCTGGAACAATGTCCTTGAGATTATTTTTCCATAACTGAAAACAGTGCAAGATGGGCAAGACAGCACAAGCATTCAGAGAACTGCAAGCTTAATTTGTTCCAGGAGATGGCAGTATTTGTTCCTTTTTAAAAATTAGAGATTTCTGCTGCTGAATTGAAAAGCTTAATAAAACATGGGAAAGAAATCATAGATCTCTAGATCTGAAGTAGATCTAAATGAGAATTTTATTTCAGAGGGAAGAAAGGAAGGATTTTTTTTTTTTTTTTAATGCGGTACCTTCTTGATAGTGTTTCTGTTAGGGGAGGAAAAGCTATGGTAAATAGTACAAGGCAGTTAAACTGTGTGGAGTAGCTTATTGGCTGCTATACCGTGCCATTCAGGTTGACAATAAACATTAGTTCATACTCTCTGTAGTGACTGTTTCGGACCTGAGCTTTGAATACCAGTATTTTGGGCAGTTGATACAATCAGTGAGCTTTGAAAATCTGCCGATTAAGCATATGTGCTCCCTTTTGCTAGATTGTTCCACACTTGACTAATACTTCACCAGTTGTTCACTCATCATATGTCAGTTGCAGACAATTAACAATACTGATGAGAAAAAAGAATTGCCTGTCAAAATCATTTTTAATTTGAATTTTGCATTCCAGTATATTCAGAGGACCTCCAATCTCCATATTGTTTATTTATTTTACTACTTAGGTTGTTGTTAGTGATTATATTGGTGGAATTGATACTAGGAAGTATTTCTGCAGAACATCCTTTCAGCTTTCTGTTTCGATAATGGATTATTTTTATTTTTGGTAACTACATTTGTTCTGTAATACTTCCATCTGTGCCATATTTCTCAGTCTTGCTTATGAGAATCTCCTGTGATAGTAAGACATGCACTAACATAAAGATACTTCATCTACTGCTTTATAATTATGCTGCTATAGAAGATAGAGTCAGTTTTGTCATAACTTATTCTTAAGCAACTCGTACTATTTTCTGTGGAAGGCATAATTTTTGAGTTATACTTTGAGTATTTGTTGCAAATTGATCTTGAGATTTAAAGATCAGTAATGTTGATTCTGGTCAATAAGATCTTATTCTTCCTCTTTCTCCAGTCACCTCTCCACCGTTTAAAAATAAATCATTTTAAGTTACTGGCATTTTGAAAATTCCTAAAAACTAATACTACTTCTTTTGAGACTGCTTCAGCCTAGTTTTAAAACTTTATAGTCAGGCTGTTTGGACCCAGGTAATCTGTAAGCAACTAGTTTAAGGAAGCTTCTAATCTAACCCATTCCTTTCTTTTGCTAGGCTGAGATCTCTCTCGTTTGTTAAGGAAGCCAATATAAGTACTTGCCAATATAACACCAGTATAACTACTTGCAATTGCCCTCATTAGTGGAGATTGAAACCATTGAACAGTTCATTGGTAACACCATCATCTGTGAGTTGTTTTCCCTCCTTGTGGTGTAGCTAACACTTTACTTTGTCTTTTCTTCTAATGCAAGTGTAATTAGAACAATTTCTTCCTACATCTGTTGATTGTACATCTGGTTCTGATACTGTGTTTGGTCATTGCTCAGTCATTGCTCCTATTTGTTCTTAAATAATTTATGTAGAAATCAGAACACTTTATCTGTTATCTACAGGCTTTCCTTCTGTGAAGTCGGTCCAGAGCTCTTTGGTCTGATTAGACCCTTCTCACATGTGCTACCCTTCCTTTGCGTAGTTAAAGCCTGTTACCAAGATAATGCTTCTTTGGGAGCTGCGAGCTCCTGAAGTCCTTTTCCCTTAGACTGGGCTCTCAAAAAACTTTCCTTCCAGTGTCAAAAGGGTAAGTGTAGTAAGTCTTCCAAGTTTGTACTTGGGTTCTGTGGTATCTAAGTTGCTGAAATCTCGTGAGCAAAGCTTGAAATCTCTCCTCCATCAGTGTCTAATGGTCTAAATTAGAAGCTAAGAATTTGGACATAGAATACACGTGCCCTTTTCCCTCCTCCTCCACCTCGGCCCTGTGTGATGGCAATAGTAACAAAGAACAGAATCTACCTGTTCTCTACTACTATATTTCTGCCTTTGGTAAAA